TTTTCCTTTACTCGTATGTCCATAGAAAGGTAATGGGCATGTTCAAAATGTTTGCAGTTCATGTCTTCACCTCTACCCCAACCTGTCTGTCTATCTCCTACTCTGACATCCTAAAAAGTGGAGCAAGAATACATTTTGTTGCATTGCGTTCCGTTTGCGTTGTGTTTTTGACGCGTTCGTGCGTTCCATGACCGGACAAAATGTGACATGCAGTATTTTTTCAGTCAGGAACGGAACAGACTGCGCACGTGAGAACTGTAGCCCATAAAACAAATAGGGATGCATATTTAGTGCAGGAGCGTACGGATCAGGTCAGCACAGAATACGGACGTCGTATGAACAGGCCCTTAAAGTTTTAATTTCCTGCAAAATCAGCTGGACTCGGAGCACTGGACCTGATATCCTCTTTTAGGGTGACTCATTTCACTTGCAGGGTTCTATGGAGCCGCCCTTGTGTGTGCTAGTAAGCTGTGTGTGTCTCCACAAACACACAGGCACAGCAAGGCAAGATGCTTCTCTCCCCCTGGCTCCCTCTTCCTCATTCCCTCCTCCAAGTTAGTAGATGAACAGTTGCTGGAATTTGCTCTGTCTCTTGTGATCTTGTACTAGACAGGAAGTTCAGGGAAGCAGAGCTGACTGTTGGAGCTGTTTAGAAACATGATGACTGTGGGCAACAATTAAGAAATACTTTGCTGGGCAATGTATATTTGTTTGATTCGGATTCATTATTGAAAGAAAAAAAAAAAAAGGATTGAGAGTTTAATACCACTTTAAATGCTATCCGAGTCACCATAGAGGAGAATTCTCATCTCTTCCTGTTATTGAACACCTGTCTCGTGGACAGGAAGATTGGGGACTCTTCCTCAGGGAACATGGCCATAAAATCCAGAATATAAGTTCCTAGAAAATGTGTTTACATTCTTGTCTGGTCAAAGGGATTCTCCCTTACTTCCTGTTCTGATGTTAGACAGGCAGTAGGGAGACTTTCCCTCACATCCTGAACGGTCCGACACCTGAACAACAGAAAGAAAATGGGGAGAATTTTCTTCATTTCCTGTTCTGAAATTTTAAAGAAATCTCCCTAATATGGACACCAGTGGAAGAAAAACGTTGTAAATAAAAGAAAAAAAAAGTGCAACAAATAATCCACCAGTATATACTTAGAACCCGTTACCTAATACAAATCAGTCCAATAATAGCGGTGAGGAGGTCTTTCAGTTGAAAACAGGTAGAGGAAATCTTAAAGAAAAACTCTGCGCAAAACCTATTATCCCTTGCAGTGGGGCTACCCCTTAATTCTGCAGAATCGGAGAAAAGAGGCTTCAGAGACCAGAGAAGCAGGAAGCTGGCTCAGTGGTTCGGGTGAGTATCTTTTTTTTTTTGCACCTAGACAAAAACGAGCAGTTAACCCTTTCAGGTCAGGGGTAGCCCCACTGGAAGGGTTAATAAAAGTTTTGCCCGCAGTTCTTTAACTGAACAAGCAAAAAAAAAAAAAACAAGAAGGCCGGAACAAAGCCTAAAGCTTAGAACAGGAATGGCTAATCTGAGAGGCCTGCAGCTAAAGTAAGGAGCCCATTTCAAAAATGTCTATTCTACTTTTTCATGTCAGTTTCCTTATAAAGTTCTTCTGGGTAACATCTGCTCTCCTGAACCTGCAAATTCTAGTTTGCAGAGTACAGCTGACCATACATGTGGTTACTGTATTCTGACAGCCAGAACATGCAGCTGTCTGAATAGTGACCGCAGTAATTGCAGGTAGGGATGCACAGATACCGGTATTTTGGTATCGAGTACGAGCACCAATATTTTTTTTTCGGTACTCACCGATACCGAATACCAATACCGGAAGTCCCATTAAGGAAGCCAGGCGGTGTGTAAAGACTCGCAACCCGGATTCCCGATTAGCAAGGAAGCCGCCCCCATGCTTCACTATGTGACGAGTAAGCATGGAGTCGGCTTTCTGGCCAATCAGGAAGCCAGGCGCTGTGTAATGACGCGGCACCCGGTTTCCTGATTGGCCGGGAAGCCGACTCCATGCTCCCTTCTCATGGGGCGACGAGGGAGCATGAAGCAGACTTCCCACCAATCAGAAAGCTGGGCGCTGCGTCATTACATGGCGCCTGGCTTCCCGATTGGCCAGCTTCCAGCCCAATCAGGAAGCCGGGCAGCGAGTCATTACACGCTGCCCGGCTTCCCGATTGGCCAGGAAGCCGGATCTATGCTCTCTCATCACAAGTGACGAGGGAGCATGGAGTCGGCTTCCCGGCCAATCAGGAAGCCGGGCAGCACGTAATGACTGACTGATACAGGAAGTATCGGACTAGGCATCGGAACATTTGGCCGAGTACGAGTACTCACCCAAATACTGAGCATCGGCACCGATACCGATAATAGTATCGGTGCATCCCTAATTGAGGGCCACTCGGGTCCTTCAAATTTTTCAATCAAAGTCTGTTGAGCCAGGAGGTGTCAGCAGGGCCACCAACGGCCTCGAATTGAGCCGTGTATGGCCAGCTTCACTTAACCAACTTACACATTATTTTACAGATAAATGATGCAGCTCTAAAAACATCCTTCATCCAGTTTATGTATTTTTTTCTATTTTCCTTTACAAAATGGTATTCAGCAGGACAATTAGGTAATGGGGGAAACTCAAGTCATTGTTTCACTAATCCTGACAAAGATTTCCCTAAAAGCTCCACAAGGTTCTGTATAACACCTTTCCCATCCACGAGACTTTGGACAGCTCGGCCAGTGGACTTGTCAGCCACTTGTTTTCTAGCGGTCATCAAGTTTTCTGAACTCATTAGTGTTGAACAGTTACTAGTTAATGCAGATGCCCAGTTTGCATGACCTTCGTTGTAAGAAAAATATTACAAGAGTCAGACACTTATGGACTCAGAGCAAAGGACAATGAAGGAAATGTATTAAAACTGGAGCAGACTAACTCTGGAGCAGCTGTGCATGGCAACCAACCAGCTTCTCTCTTCCATTTTGAAATATTAGCTGAACAAACTGAAGAGAGAAGCTGATTAGTTGCCATGCACAGCTGCTCCCGATTTCGCCTGCTCCAGTTTTGATAAATCCCGCCTCCCGCCCCATATGGTAAAGACCAGTTAAAACAATAGCCAGATAGTAGTAAGAAACAGGGAAGCGATCCAACTTCTGAACAATGGTTAAAAGTAATGTTTCCATCAATTTTATTACATTGACTGGCATAACTAGGCAATACGAAGAGCTGAAACCCCCATTCTTGTCCTATATGAGAAATTGTAATGGACTACAAAAACAATTCAGTGCATTAAATCCACAGACTGAGACTCGCCAATGGCACACTACACATCTAACAACTGTCCCCTGATCCAGCCAATTAAGTTGAATAGGCCATGTATCACCTTATCTTTTGTTGCCTCAACAGTGGCACACAGGTGGGTAAAATGCCAGTGAGCCAAGCAGGAATTCGATTTTAAACCTGTCAACATGGGCTCACATATACCAGGCATTTTACAGCCTGCCAGGCTTGCCAAGCTGCACTGAATAAACGACGGCACAGCAGATGGGACAGAGAACACAATGTAATATGAGCAGTATATCTCCCCATACACATGGCATGAAGGGAGACAAATGCTCCTTGTCTGATTTTGACTTTGACCCTTCATCATGTCCTCCTCGTGTATATGGAAGCCATGTTCCCCAGCTACGCCATTGTGTTCTGTACATCCAGCTGAGCCGTGGTCACTCGACCAACCCCCTGTTGCACGGTGCCTCGAAGTACAAAGGGGCACATAGAGACACCTGTGTGTATACAGATCGCAGGAAGGAAGCAGAGTCATCATAAATGAACAGCACAAATCACTTCAGCTTTTGTATCTATACTTCTAACAAATAAAATAAATCGCTAGATTATATGCAATGTGAAAAAAAGGAAAAAATGACATATAGATATTTTCATTTCATACGAACAAGCCAAAGTACTAGGACAAGTCAAGCGTCGCTACACTCGGACAATATTTGACTTTCTCTAATAATCATTGATCGGGCAAACAAAGGAACATATTAAAATGTTTACAAAGTTCAGTGTCCAGTGCAAGTTGTTTTTTTTCCCCTTCCCATTGAAGACTCACATATGACGACTGTCATTGCTTCTGCTGTATACTTGCCAAAAGGTTCTCTTCCAAACATTTTGCAGCCCAACACCACCCAAAACTTTATTTAGTGTTGGAGATACTAATGAAGGGTTAATACCGCTCAGGTTTTATTACCTTTCTCTATTCCCATTGGGGTGATATCACCCTCTGTTCTGATGACAGAGTCACAGGGTTAGGAAAAGAAGAGAAAACTCTACAATGGGGTTAAACTCGGCAAGAAAAGATTGGGGAAGGATTAGAAACTCTGTATTGTCGTTTGTGCTTTCCTACCCTGGTGACTCCATTTGCCCTCATTTCATGTCCGGCTATCATGAGGATATAAAGTCAATGTATATATCCTCAATGTGGTGACAGACAGTACTTAAGAAGAACTTACGCAGAACAGTAGAGGACACTAAACCTACCTAGAGAAAAAAAAACAAGGCACCAGAACAAGTCAAATACATCTACATAGTCCAGTTAAGAAGATCTTGACAACCTGCTTCCATTAACCAAGGGTTAACAAACACCAACAGCAAACTGTACCACTGCACAGGTCAAGTATGTCACCATGCCCCAAAACATTGGGACAACCTGTGACACTTGAGATGTCAAGCTGGAAGGAACTACCTTACAGCCAGTGTGCCAAGGCACTCACGCATGCAATGAATTGTATCACAATGCAAACCTGGACATTTTGTTTAGAGAGAACATAACAAGATCCTCAGATTTCTAAGGACTGAGAACATCATGTAGAAGAAGCTTGAGGTCATCACAAACTTCTAGCAGACCGATAGGCTGCATGATGGTTCAGGTGACAAAACGGCCACCTCAACTGTATGCATTTTACATAATTAAGGAGACAATGTTTACCTTTTTCCTCGTAGAACCAATCTTTGACAGGCAGGACTTCGACAGCGACTGGTAGCCACCGACGACCTTTATCTCTTCAGCCGTTGGGTACCTCTTTTTGAGCAGCGCCCCTATTTCAGAATAGGGAGCCTCATATCCATCTGAAGACTTTCTTTTTGAGCCGGTTTCTTCATCGTCATCTTCATCCGCGACTGGTGTCCTAAAAGCTTCATTCTCGGTAATGGGCTTCCTTTTGGGGATAACAGTAAAAGTGTTGGTGCCTTTAGCACGGACGGAGGACAGGGAAGCATGAGGCCGGTAGGAACCTGAAGGGTCTGGGGTTACTTTTGAAGCAGATTTGGCCTCTTTACTTAGCTCTCGGTCATCAATGTTCACTATGTCATCTATGTTGGTGACAGGAATATCTGGTTTAGGTACATCTTCGTGTATTTTGGTGACTGGTACAGTCAATATGCCCATAGCATCTCCTTGATGTACGCTACTCAAGTACTCCAGCTCAGCTCCAACGTCAGTAAAAGAATGACCTTCTGTAGATTTGGAGGGCAGAAGGCCACTTTTCCAGTCAAAATCCAACAGTAAAGGTTCACTAGATTTGAACGTAACAGAACTGGATGTCTGCTCTATCTTTTCATTTCTTTTAACAGGAACAAGAACTTCCTTTAACTTAACACTATTTTCTCCAGTAGAATCTGTGGAATCCAACTTGGGTCCATTCCGCGTGGAAGCACTAACTTGCACTTTTGGCTTGTCTTTGGTGGGGACTAGGACCGTGCTACCAGTTGCTGGCGCAGGAGGGTCCTGCCTCTTCTTTGGAACAAAAACAAAAGAGTTCTTAGACTGCATTCTAATGTTCGCAAGGGCTTTTGCTTGGATATCATCCTCAGCGATTTTGCTCAGGTCTGGTTTTTCTGCTGGCCTGATTTCAAAGGAATCATTACTGCTGGTGGAAGAAGAAACTTTCATTAGCTGGCTAGGGGTGGCACTACTGAAGCTGGTATCACAGTGGTTGTGGAAAGAGCTCTCGGAATGACTGGCACTGGATAAAGAAGGGATGCTAGTTTTGGGTTGCTTCACCTCAGATTTTGGCCTCCATTCATTGGCGCCTTTGGGGAGCTCATTGGTGGAATTGTACACAGGAGATGGCACTACTCCACTTCCCTCAGATGACCGCCGAGTCGCAGTACCTCTAGTACGCTTACTTTTGGACAAGAGATCTTGAATTTTAATAGAACTATTTGTATTTGCATTCATCTCAGAGTGATCAACATGACCATTGGTAAGAGGTGAGGAGCTTTTGACAGTGGCTCCAACTGTTGCATCAGAAGGCCGGGCCTTGCTAACCGGGGCAGCTTTGGGGTTGACGAAAATGGTGTTGCTTCCGGTCTTCTGTGCAACATTCATGAATTTTGACAGCTGTTGGTTGTTGGGGTACCCAACTTCGAACTTCTCCCTGACAGTGGCTACAGTAGGGGAGACCAATTTCTCATCGCTGGCCATTTCATAACGAGGGGACAGTGGTGCCACTGAAGGTAAAGACCCATGGAAAACAAAGGCTGGAGGAGTACCAGGACTGGGGGGTCTTTTGTGAAACAAACCGGGATCTGGCAAGGAATGGACAGCAGGTGGTTTCGAAGGAAGCCAAGATGGGTTGTTCAGGGGAAAACGCTTGCCGTCTTCTTCCAAAATGGAGGCAGATGATGGGGAGGTCTCTCCGGACCGCTTGGGTGCCTTACTTTGAGGGACATGACCTTGCCGCTCAGCGGAGGCAGGTTTTGGCAACAGGGCTGGCTTTTGGTCCCTTTCTAGCAGATCCTCTAAACTCCTCGACCGTAATGGTTTACTGTGGCCATGGTCAAACTTCTCCATAAGCCGGCTGACACGGCCAGCCTCCTCCACCACCTTGTTATGTTCCAGCAGCTCTTTCTTGGGTGCAGACTGTTGTTTTTTTTTAATGGGCTCTTTGCCTGGGGGCTCCGGCTCGTAGATGATCACTTCGGAGGCCCGGATCTCTGCCACTTTGCTGCCCCTTTTGGCCAGCAGCTCTTCTACGGGATCTGCGCCAGCGATGTGGCTGGGCTGGCTGAAGTAGCCAGGGTCAGACTCAATGATGATGATGTTCTCTGCACGTATGGTGCGAATACCTGGGACATTGCTGTACATGTCCAACAGGTGCCGGATAGGGGAAGCAGCTCTGCCTGTAGAGGAAAGATGATGATGTTGCTGGGGTCGCCGGCGGCGAAGCTCATTTTCCAACTTGATGAAGGGGTTCTCATTGAGGGGACCCAGGCTGTCCTGCAGCACCAGGCGTTCAGGGCTGCCCTTCCTGGAGTGCCGGCTGGGTGACACATCCTTCCCCCGGGAGGACTGGACACCAGCGCTGCTCGCCATCTTCTGCCGCTTCCTCTCCAGCACCTCCAGCTTCCAGGCCGGCATTTTCCCCGACTCCAGCCTGGACCAGCTCTTCGTACCGCCGCTGACCGCCATGCTCGCCGCGGGGAGAATGTCCGTACACCTCCGCTGCCCGCAGCTACCGACCGACCGACTGACTAACTGAGCTCGGAGCTCGGAGCCCGCAGACAGTCCTGTCACATCCAACCCCTCCTCACCGACTACGTCACCGAACACGCCTCCATTTCCATGCGTGAAGATACCTGCTTCTGTCACTATGAATGACCACGCCCCTAAACAGTCACCTTAAACTCCACCTCCCTTTCGCGGGAATCAGCAGCGCGCGCCACTCAGCCGGATCCGCCCATCAGCTTTATTCGCCACGCCCCCTCCTACTGTCATTGTCGGAAAAAGCACGCCCCCAGCCGGTGCTATCGTGCCGATTCACCGGGAGCGAACAGAACCCTCTGCTGTCACTCAGATATTCACCTACAGGAACAATGCTGCGTTCATGTGGACGTGGTGTCAGATTATTGGTATAAGACCTGATCCCCTGTGCTATGTGGAAGCATTGGGCTCCTGCACACAGGCTGCGTTCAGATATGTACCGGTACCTTGCTTTTATTTCAGATCTGAACGCAGCAGTATTGTATGTTACTGGCCCATGCACAAAGCTGCGTTGTTCTCAGTAATCATGCGCTGCATACACCTGCGTAAAGTCAAAGTAGAAAATTCATCATATGTTTGAGTATTCCCATGTAATGTACCCATGTGATCGCATGTACATGCTGGGAATTAAAAGTTTACACATGTGATCGCATGCACACGCTGGGAAATAAAAACTTACACATGTGATCGCATGTACACGCTGGGAATTAAAAGTTTACACGTGATCGCATGTACACGCTGGGAATTAAAAGTTTACACAAGTGATCGCATGTGCACGCTGGGAATTTAAAGTTTACACATACTATCGCATGTACATGTTGGGAATTAAAAGTTTACACGTATGATCACATGTACACGCTGGGAGTTAATAATTTACACATATTTTAGCATGTACACGCTGGGAATTAAAAGTTTACACGTGATCGCACGTATACACTGGGAATTAAACGTTTACACTTGTGATCGCATGTACATGCTGGGAATTAAAAGTTTACACATGTGATCACATGTACACCCTGGGAATTAAAAGTTTACACATGTGATCGCATGTACATGCTGATAATTAAACGTTTACACATGTGATCGCACGTACACGCTGGGAATTAAAAGTTTACACATGTGATCGCATGTACACGCTGGGAATTAAAAGTTTATACATGTGATCGCATGTACACGCTAGGAATTTAAAGTTTATACATATGATTGCATGTACACGCTGGGAATTAAAAGTTTATACATATGATCACATATACATGTTGGGAATTAAAAGTGAGCCAGAATAATATAAGATTTTGAATGGCTGTGAAGATCTTATAAGTGTGCCTTAGTCCTAAGAAGGACCATTCATATGAATGAGGTTCACAACGCATGGTAGTGCTTCACCGTACATTGTGATGTTCTAAACGCAGATGCACTGAGTGCCAATAAGAATGAACGTATGCACGTGTGCACATTTATTACCATGGTGCAATCGTGTAAATGCAGGAAGGTGACTCTATCAGAACATTCTTGAATAGAATTACATAGCTACTTAAAGAAGAGTCACATTCTTTGGGCGTCTCATTTGTTGAAAAGCCGTCCGTTCACTGCTCACCGGCCGCTGCATTATTCAACACTTCCAGATGTTTGATAACTCGCTCCCGCGCTGCACACTGTGGTTTTACCTGCCTGCCTGTATGTTACTACCAGACGAACAAGCTGGTGGGACAAACCACATTGTGCAGTGGGGGAAACCGGTATTCAACCCATTCCGACCAGCAAAATACCAGAAAGCAGCAAAGAGGTGGGATTATAGCAAAAAGGACACCGGAAAGGTAAGTAGGTCTGTAATTCTTCATAAGTGACAGGCAATGTGCTGACACGGTCACATTTACGTGGATTGTAACATCACAACTGGGATGCATCTTGTCCAAATTGTATAACACTTGTGAGGCTGTTCATGTGGGAAAACATAACTGACGTCACAATGCACTTCAGAGTCCAACTGAACTCTGAGACCCCATTCACACTGAGACCCATTCACACTATGACCCCATTCACACTAAGACCCCATTCACACTAAGACCCCATTCACACTAAGACCCTATTCACACTAAGACCCCATTCACACTAAGACCCCATTCACACTGAGACCCCATTCACACTGAGACCCCATTAACACTATGACCCCATTCACACTATGACCCCATTCACACTATGACCCCATTCACACTAAGACCCCCTGCACACTAAGACCACATTCACACTAAGACCCAGTGGCGTCACAAGGGGGGTGCGGCCCACACCCGGGTGACACCATTGGAGGGGTGACACCAAAATGACTCACAGTCACTCACAGTCATTTTGGTGTCACCCCCCTCAGAAAAGTCATGGACCGAACGCCCGACAGTATCAGGAGAGAGGAGGGGACCCGGCGGCATACCTTATCCCGCCGGGTGACTGTCCCCTCCTCTCTCTGCCGGCGTCCATCACCAAGATGGCCGCCGGCAGGTATCAGAATACTGCCGCACGTGCGCGATGACGTCATCGTGCACGCGCGTGGTGACGTCACGCACATGCGCAGTGACGTCTCGGCGGGGTGACACTCGGTTACCGCTCCGGCTATTTTTTGGCGGATTTTGTGCGATTTGGCCAAATAGACTTCATTGGTGTAGCTCAATGTCGCACATTACCAGCGATTGTGCGCGACATTGTCACACTACAGAAGTGTCACATTGCACAGAAATATAAGCAGGAACATAAGCAGGAAACAGGAAGAGGAATTATTTCACATAAAGACTACTTTTGATTGGATACAGCCCAATGTAGCAGCTACGAAGTCCATGCCAAAAGTAGCGCTACGTAGCGCGACAATGTGTGCACTGTAGCTCAATGTCTCTCAAAGTCGCTCAGCTCAAATCAGCGCTTTGTTTGATGTAGCTCAGTGTGAATGGGGTCTGGGCTACATCAGCGCTGATTTGAGCTGCGCAGCAATGAGCTAAAGTGCACATTTTGTTGTACCATGTAGCGCTTTTTTTTGGCAGTCTATCAAAGCCTATTGGGTCAAATCGCACAAAATCCGCTGGAAAAATAGGTCATGTTCGAGCGACAAGCTTGAGCTACAAGCTACAGGCAACATTGAGCAACAGCTCCATTGAAATGCGTTGGACGAGATACATTGAGCCATTTTTGAGCGGAAATCCTGCTACAAATCGCTCAGTGTGAATGGGGTCTGAAGTGCATTGTTAATGAAGTATCTTTCTCAGTAAACAGACCATCCTAAGGCTCGGTTCACACCTAGGCGACACCTCACTGCGCGGCAATCGTGCACGATTCTGCGCGGATTGCCCCTCAATCAGGAGTCGCCAAGGTGTGAACCGATCGCGCTGTGGGTGCCATTATTTTCCAATGGCACACCAGTCGCACCGGGCGGATTGCGCGGTTTCCCGCCGCGATTCTGCACGTACTTCCGAACACCATTGTGGCTAAAATAGCCGTGCGTCATGTATTGCCAAAAAAAGGTACATGTACCTTTTTTCTGCGATTGCTGCGTGGATGTCACCCCACTGAAATCAATGGGGCCGCGCGGCAATCGCTGCCTGCATTGTTCAGGACCGCGCATTCAGGGATCGCTGCTTCTGGCTGTCACATTAATCCAGCAGCTTCAATCTGTACAAGCTACTGACCCAAAACAAGCGTGTGGATAGGTGCTAGCTGCCTGGCTGTTATGTGGAGCCAACTGACTACCAATGATAAATGTCAAGCAAGTCAGAGTAAAGTCAGAACCCCTTATCTCATATACTTGTTCTAGATAAGAGATTGAGAGCTTTGAAGTCAGAGCATCAGCATGAGGACTCGGTGCCTGCCATATTCACAATGACAAATTAGCAATGGCGGCCTACACTATCCTTTATAATTTATAGCCAATTATTTTGTTATTGTTGTTATATTGCTGTGTTTGCTGGGTAGATTTCCCTTTACTTCCCATCTTGGAGCTGCAACAGGAAGTAAAGACTCATTCACGCCAAACTTGGACTGAAAATGTAAGTCAACGGAGGCCTGTTGTTTATTTGTTGTTTTCTATTTTGCCAATCTTTATTTTAATTAACATGTCCTGAGTGGACAAACTTCTATGTATTTTTTTTTTCTACTTGCGTTGTGTTGACATCTGTTTTTGACACATTGCGTTACATTGCTCTGGAATAAGCAGAGCATGCTCTACATTTTTTCAGCGCCCTGCAACACAACACAGCGCAAAACAGTGGTGTGAACTGGTGCCATTCACAGCCATACATTTTTCGGGTTACCTTCCCTTGTCATCCATTGAAAGATCTCTCAACAGTAAGGAAAATCTTAGTTGTCATCATAATATTTGTCCCCATTGGAAGATTTTCCCTCATCTCCTGCGCTCATAATAACTCTAAAAGCATTGCTGTGTGCCATTTATTTTAAAGGGGACCCCAAAACACCCTGCCAAGCACACCCCTATACACATGCATTGTAGCACAGCCCACAGATGGAGACCATCTATGTGTTGGGGTGCAGTTGGTTACAAAAAAGCGGCGTGCCCACTTCTATGTGCATTATGGTGCGCTGCCAGCCCACTTAAAGGGCCTATTCACACCACTAGCGGTGCGTTCCAGAGCCGTAGCTTCTGAAACGCACAGCAATCCCTCACTATGCTTCTCCCTCCGTTCTCAGGTGGGAGGCGGAGTGGCGGTGCATTGAAGTCAATGGATCCGCAGCCACGACCCCCGCCCGCAGTGGCGTAATTATTCTCTTTTAAAGCAGAACACCGGGCAAACCAAATGTTAACCCTTGCAGTGCGTGGGTAGCCCCACTGTGCTGCATTAGCGGGTTGCCGTCTCCAGGCGGCATTTTTTTTCTGCTCGCGGGCCCCCTAGCGCACGCGCACGGGCAGAATAAACCCGTGCACTGTATAGAGCCGTTACCGGCTGTTTAACATATACCCTATCGGCGACTCTATAGCCAGCCGATCGTGTATAAGCTGCTTCATCAGC